AGTTGACTGATATTTAGAGACGGGTTGCTATATGGTGGGACGTTCACCTCCTCAATCAATTTTCTATTATTTTTTTTAATTCTTGGTCTGACTCTGTGGTCTTGAGGGGTGGTCAATGTAAGACTTTTGATGCATTGGTTTTGTCTACATTTTTGGTTTCTTTGGAATTTTTGAAATTCCAATGATTTTGGAACGGTTTTTCCTAGGAAATCTCTTATTTTTTTATGAGGTTGTTGATGGAGCGTTTTTTTGGATTTCTAATAGGTGTAATAAACCTAAACTTGGTTGGAGTGTTTGACTTGGTAACCCTCCTTTAGCTTCTATTTTGGTGTTAGGTATTGTTTCTAGGTTCTTGCTAGTTTTCTAATAATGTCTTCCGCCGTTAAAAAAAAATAAAAAAATAAAGTAATAAGAGACGAAATAATTGAATTTTTAAGTAGAGAAATTAAATATCCTCCACTACAAGAAAAATCCTAAAATCCTTATTAGTGACCAATTTTTAGTGACGACCAAAAATTTGGTCACTAATAATATCAATTAATGACCACAAATTTAGTGGTCACTGGATTTTGGTAATGCTACAAATACAGCGACTGATTTTATAATGGTCGTCACTCACCGGCCACTAAACGGTACAAATAAAACCAAAATATATTTTTAGCATCATAAAAGGTATTAGTGACTAAAAAGGTGGTCACTAAATTGAAGACTTAATGACCAAAAAAACTGGTAACTGAATTGAAGATTTAATGACCAAAAAGAATGGTCACTAGCTATTTTTATATGCATGGGCTCGAAAAAAGATAGCGGTCGTTGTCTATGAATTAAAGAAAAAAAATTAAAAGTTCCACACTACACATCTATTTTAACACCATACACAACTTTCCAAACACTTAAATATTATTATTATTATTATTATTATTATTATTATTATATAGAGTAAATTTATATAAAGATCCTACGGCTTTTAAAGCTTAAATAATTAATTTCAATAACTATTAATTAACTATAAACTATAAATACGTTGGACTCTCAAAAGTTCGAAACTACATAACCCATTTGCGGGTTGACCCGTCAAACCTTTTATTATATTAGCATTAACAAAAAATAGTTTCGTTATATTAAATCCCAATGGTAATGCGGTAAAGACCGTAATGTCCTTAGGCTTTGATTTGCAATTTGCCCTAAATCGAGGTTCCATTAATCGATACATAGCAACTAGCAAGCATACTGAACTCTATACGCCGATACTCTAGTAGGCGATAACCTTATACGCAACAACACCAGCGACTGTCAACGGCTCGACGTACCTCCTCCCGTCTGTCCACAACTCCACCGGCGTCGCTCCATCCTCTCCCGTCAACGTGAGATCCAGAGACGCCGATGCACGAGAAGATTTCCAACATCAAGTTAAGAAAAAAAAGGAGCATCGCCACGCTTTGCGTCAGGTCAATTCAATATGTATTTACTGAATTAGCTTCATTCTGTTTTTTATTTTCGTTCAATTCAAGAGTGTAATTGTTCAATTGAGGTAAGATGAAATTGGGGCTTTGTGTTTAGACATTGAAGAATTTGTATCTGTTTTATACTTATGATTGTGTGATTGTTCTTCGTTTAGTTGGACTGTCGATTGGATGATGATCAGATAACATCTGATCTTATATTTTTGTCGTTTAGTTCTAGCCTTTTTACAGATTCAAAACTTTATGGACATCCAGCCATATGTAGGATTATTGAAGTGAATGGAGGCAAGGACTCTATAACGAACAACTCAATGGTAATCTCATACTTCTAAATACTTTCTTATGTAACTTATTATGCTCTGCTATTTTTTTCCGATTCATCCAAAAATCTTCAATTTTGAGACTCTCACACATTATGTTACCTCATTGACCTGTTCTACATCATGAAGCAATATTGAAAATACATTTTGTTATGAAGAAGATGCAGAGGAAGTAAATATAGAAAATTTTGAGCTCAACTCAGAGTATTCTGTAAAATCTGGACAGGTTTAAGCATGAACATTTGGTTTTCAACTTGTTATTACTATCCTTTAAGCCTTTGCATGTACTGAAGTTCCTATTATTGTCAATATATCAAATAATTATTCAATGTTAATTCCTGATGAAACTCTTTGCATTATCAGGGTGTATTTGGTGATTCTAAAAAGGATAAGTGGCAGGAAATGGGGCTGTCAAAAACGAAATCAACAGACATATGAAGTTGCAAGTGAAAATGTTTGGTAATATACTCCCTACCATGAATTAAGCATATGAATATGATTATCTTTGGTTATTTGGTTAACATGTTTTATTCAAACGTTATATAGGGTTTTGTATGCTAATGATATGGTTATCTTATTGTTTTTAAAATCATTTCTAGGAATTGTCCCAATGGAGTTGGTGGATGCCTTAACCATTAGTGCTGATTTAAGTAGGCTATTAAGTCAAACCTACATGTCATGCATGGACTTCTTAATGATGATGACATTGACCAATCGGATTCAGAATCTTCTCAAAAAGATGAATGATGGCATGATTGTACTAATTCAGAATCTTCTCAGGTTATGATTCGAGCATGAGAGTTTCAATCAAGTCTTGGAACCGAGTTTCCTAGCTTTGTAAAGATGATGGTTAGATCACAAGTTACCTATGGGTTTTGGATGGTATTTCCTCTTTCTTTAACTAATGAACAAAATAAGATAGCAATATTCATAACAATTTATAGTAAATAGTTACCATTGCTTGTTTGAGTTTGATTGTTTTTTTTAGGAATCTGTTGTCCCCATTGAAGACCATGAATTTGAAGAACGAGGTAATTCCATATTATTACATAACAAGGTAAAGAAAAATTCACCAGTGTCTGTTTTTCAAAAAAAATCAAGAAACTATCAAACTCTTTTTTAAGGATATTACATTTTTGGTCTGCGAGTATAGTCATTTTTGCATTTTTGGTCCTTGTAATTTTACAAAATCTAGTTTTAAGATGAATGATATGATGGGAATGTATTTTTTCGTATATTTGGTGATTACAATTGCAGGATATGACAGATCTAGTGGTAGATATGCTCAATCTTAGATAAAGGTTACTCAAGAAGCAGCACAAGGCAGTAATGAGACAAATTTTTGTATATTTTTTTTATGGTTAAGATGTTGAATCCATCTTCTTTGAATATATTGGATAATCCTACTTTGTATACTTTTTTAGTCATTTAAGTATTGTATACTCTGGGTTTTATTAAATTTGTGAACAATTTATGTTTATTATTTCATGAGATAAATTTTGATAACTGGATCATATTATATCTTTACCATTGACTAGTTTCATGCTAGTTACTTAAATTGGTTAAATATAAGAAAAAATAGCAACAAAAATTAGTGATGAGCTTTTTTCGTAACTAATTGGATAAATTAGTAATAACTTTTTATGGTCACTACTTGGATAAATCAGTGACGACTTTCTGTGGTTACTAATCGGATAAGACAGTGACGACTTTTTATGGTCACTAAGTGGATAAACAAGTGACGACTTTCAATGATCACTAATCGGATAAGACAGTGACAACTTTTTCTGGCCAGTAATTAGATAAAACAGTGACGACTTTTATTGATTAGTGACGACATTTAGTGACAAAACGGGTCGTCACAGATTCAATGACCAATATATTTTCGTCACTATTTAGTGACCGCGTTTATATTTCGTCACTAATCAGTTTTTGTGACGGACCTATAGTGACGAAAAGTGACAGACCAAAATTTGGTCACTAAATCGTTAGTGACGACTCTTTCTATTGTTAGTGACCATTTCGTTTTCGTCACTAATTGGCATTTTTTTTGTAGTGCTCCTACTTTCCTTTCTACATATATTCCTACCTATTTGAAATGATGAAAAGTGTATTCAAATATTATTAATCTTATCCAAATATGACACATGTCGCCATTTTATATGGATATAAATATAAATAGGAATAAAATATAGGAGAATATTTAATTTCTCTTTTAAGTATTGTAGAGGGGTGGGTAACAACTAAAAAAAAGATGAGAATGATAGAAAAGATGATCTTTTTTCTTTATTAAATAGTTATAGGGCCGCTAGTCTGCTAAAAATAAATAAATAAATAATAAAAACTACGTAACTAAAGATGAACTTTTTTTTTTATTAAATAGTTATAGCTAGGGCTGCGAGCAAAATTAGCCTCACTCGCCTTATTTGAAAAATAAGGGAGGGGAGGGGTGGGGAGGCTACATTAATTGAGTAACTCATGTTCGATCCTATGGAATAATATTTTTTTCAACAATGTTTTCCATTGTAATTTATTATTAATATTATCAATATATTTAAAAGATATAAAAAGTTAACGACAAATGAATGTCATGTTAAAACTTTTTATATTGATTTCTTACGCTTTTTTCATATTATTCATTTGAAATCAGCTATAATTGAATTTTTATGTCATATAGTATTAATTTTTCATGATAATTAAATCTTTGAAATCAGCTATAATTGAATTTTTATGTCATTGATTTCTTACGCTTTTTTCATATTATTCATTTGAAATCAGCTATAATTGAATTTTTATGTCATATAGTATTAATTTTTTATGATAATTAAATCTTTGAATTTTTTTAGGATACGCTCTTACGATAATGTTAAAAAAATAACTTCGAATATAATTGTAAAATATTTTGATATTTGTGGGGGCCTATTTTTTGTTTTTGCGCCCCGTCCCATATAAAATTTAGCGGTCCTATCATAGCTCCAAGCCTCCACGCCACCAACACTATATCAAATATTAATTAATAATTAATGTGTTTCATGGAACCAAACGTATCCCTATTAAACTCTCAAGAAACAACACTTCAAAGTTCAAACCCCTCCATATTTCTCTGTTGCTCCCTTTTGCAATGGCATTCTTAACAACAATTATGATTTTATTTACGATCTCATATATTTGTTTATGGTTAACAAAGTTGGTATTTGGGGGAGGGGAAACATGCTATATGATCGACTACGAATGCTACAAGGCAACGAAGGATACAAAGTTGGACACCGAACAGTGTACCAAGATTGCTTCACGCAACAAGAATCTGGGTATAGAAGATTACAGGTTTCTTGCAAAAACCATGGTTAGTTCAGGCCTTGGTGAAGAAACTTATGGTCCAAAAAGCATCATATTGGGTGAAGAAGAACACCCAAAACTTGTTGATTCTCTATCAGAATTAGAATCCGTGTTCTACGATACGCTGGATAGAATATTTGCCAGATCGAAAATTTCGCCATCTCAAGTTGATATACTTGTGGTGAATGTATCGCTACTCTCAACGGTGCCTTCTTTAACGTCTAGAATCATTCATCGTTACAATATGCGGTCCGATATTAAGTCGTTTAATCTCGTAGGAATGGGGTGTAGTGCGAGTCTAGTTGCTATCGATCTGGTGCAACACTTGTTCAAGACTCAGAAGAAGAAAATAGCCATTGTTGTGAGCACAGAAGCTATGTCAGCTCATTGGTATTGTGGGAGAGAAAGGTCCATGATGCTCTCTAACTGTCTTTTCCGGGTAGGAGGTTGTTCGATGCTGTTAACCAACGACAGGGCTCGCAAGAATCAGGCCATTTTGAAGCTCAAATGTATGGTTCGAACCCATTTGGCCTCGGATGACGAAGCCTACAACTGCTGCATGCAGGTTGAAGATGACGAAGGATATGAAGGCTTTCGTCTCAACAAAACGCTCACAAAAGTTGCTGCTCGAGCTTTGACGAAGAACCTACGAGTGCTTTTACCAAAAGTGCTTCCATTTTGGGAGATAATTCGTTATGTATTCCTGAAATCTCGTTCGAAAATCAATGTGAAAACTGGAATCGAACACTTCTGCATACACCCAGGAGGGAGAGCTGTGATTGATGACGTGGGTGCAAGTCTAGGGCTAAGCGAGTATGACCTTGAACCAGCCCGAATGGCGCTGCATCGTTTTGGGAACACTTCGTCTGGTGGGCTCTGGTATGTTCTAGGGTACATGGAGGCCAAGAAAAGGTTGAAGAAAGGTGACAGAATCTTGATGATTAGCTTGGGTGCAGGTTTCAAATCCAACACCTGTGTGTGGGAGGTCACCAGAGATTTGGATCGAACAAATGTTTGGAAAGATATTATCGAAAACTACCCTCCAAAGAAGACCATAAACCCTTATATTGCTAAGTACGCATGGATTCATGATAAAGATATGGATTTTGTGACAACTGATGATATAAAGATGATGCTAATTGGTTCGGCTGCGTAGAGCATTATTTTTCAAATATTCATCGCATCGCATGTTGCTTCCATTTATCAACGATAGATGCTCATTGATAAAGCTTATTTTTCATCACGAATAAGAGACAATGATGAGTCGTTGTCGACATGTCCAAGTTAAGTGATTAGGTTTCTAGTTATTTGAACATTTAGATGTTTGATAAACTGTCTACATGAAAATTATGCGTATTTTAATATATTGGTTTAAAAAATAAATGCATACTGCTTATGTAGGTCTATATAATCGTTCATTCTATTCCTGATGGGTTGAAATTCATACAAATTTTGTAATCTTTTTTCTCTCTAGAAGTGCTCCTTTGTTCGGTAGTAATAGGTAATTAACTAGACAGTTCTAGAAAAAACAAAATAAAAAAACCAACTCATAGTCAGGGCATTATATATATATATATATATATATATATATATATATATATATATATATATATATATATATATAAAAGTGGAGGCTAGTCCACTTGGTTAACAAGGCGGTTTCTAATCTAACAACTAACTAGGAGGTCTTAGGTTCAATCCCAGACACATGAGATATTTAAATTATTTCCCGTTTCAAAAAAAAATGCATAATATATGACATTAATTAGTGAGGAATAAGGCTGTCGGGTGTCGTGGTTATCTTACCATCGGGATGTAGACGTGGCGTGTTTGCCAGCGGTAAACACCGCACCATTATTCTAATTTTTGTCAGCGGCAATTTTTAACGGTGAGTTCTCACCGCCCATTAAAACAATTTACCAAACCTATACCACTTCTTGTAACTCCATTGTAATTTGGATAAGCTCATGGTACAGAAAGGCCATGCATAAATGTTTGACATCATGACATGCGTGACTTTTACACAACAAATTCATGTGTATTTTTCCTAATGCACATCATACAACTCTTCAAGCATGAATTAGAAAAATGAGTTAGTTGGCAGGAAAAAATATCACCACGCCCCACTTGTAGGTAAAAAACATAGCAAAAATGGTAAAAATTTATGTGGTGTCTACGTGACATCTTTTTACCATTGGCAAAAATTGTACCACGCCTTTTAGCCTTACCGAATCTTTCTATTTTAATAAAAGAATATGTTTATTTTTCTTTTGTCATATGTCATCCTATTAGATCTCTTAATTAATGTCATGCGACTTGTCTAGTTATTGATGTTTCATTTTAAATTTTAAATCTTCCACTTTAATTGCATTAAATTAATAACATTAAAATAAAAATAAAAATTAAATTAATATAGATTATAAAGTTACATATTTATTTAAACCAACGATTATGATTTTATAAACTAAAAAAATATCTCTTAATTAAAAATTTATTTAAAATAATTGATTAATAATTTTGAATTTTTACTATAAAAGTTTAATTAATTTTACAACCGTAGTTTCTATGGGTTATAAACTAGCAAATAATATTAAACACAACATTGCAAATAGGAAATATAAAAAACGCAAAAACAAACATATATATATATATATATATATATATATATATATATATATATATATATATATATATAGAGAGAGAGAGAGAGAGAGAGAGAGTCAAGATCAAATAAAAAGAAAAATTTTGGTAGAAAGTTAAAGAAGTTTTTTTTCTACATATTTTTTTAGCAAACAAACAAAATGAATTATTAGATGATTCAAAAGTTAGATGATTCACAAGAAAAAATTCTCAAAAAACATCTTCATGATTCATTTTTAAGTAAATTAAGAAAAAATTCATTTTTATGACAATTTTAGTGAATAACAACAAAATCATTATATAAATGAATCATCGAGATGTTTTTTTGAAAATTTTCTTTTGTGAATCATGTTATTTTTGATTCATCTAGTGATTCATTTGTTTTGTTCGTCAAAAAAATATGTAAAAAATAATACTTCTTACCTTCCTTCCAAAAACAATTTCTTACCCGATATATATATATATATATATATATATATATATATATATATATATATATATATATAATAATTTCTCAATAATGTAATACGCATAATCAATTTGCATAGCATCACTAGTAAAGACTTTTACACTAAGAGCGTGTTCGACACGGAGCGTTTGGGAGCTTCTAGCTTCTAGCGTTTGACAAAACGCTCCGTTTTGAACAAAAAGTCTTGTTCGGCACTACAAGCTTCTAGCGTTTAGTTTAAACAAGACGCCAGAAAAAATTAAATGTTACAAGAAAAGATAGGAGAATTACACCAATCAAACTAACATAAAGCATGAAATCTAGCTCTATATGTGATCGAGTTGAATCTCATCCGCCATCCTCATAGGATTGCACTTCCAATTTTTAAAAAGAAAATTGTTTCTAGCAATCTACAAAAACCACAACACCGGGTAAGATAAAGCCGAAACTAACTCGCACTACTTCTTATCGACACCCATGGATTATAATTAAGAATCATAATTAAAAAAGTAAAGTTGTGCATTTATAAAAGATAGGGGGCGATTCTACATCATACAAAGCGAGAGGCCTTCGTTGTTTAACTGTTAAAAAATTTTGGTTTTCTTAACTGCGAAAAAGTTGATATTAATAAACCAACCAACGGGGAAGCTAGACGAAAAAAGAAGAAAAACCAAGTAGTACATTAGAAAAATAGTTCCACGAAAATGACATCTACAAAAGATCACATTGACCATCAAACCCACAGGCAAAAAAAATACAAAACCAATACGATGAATTGATGCACCAGGAGAACCAACTAATGATGAAGCAGCAAAACCAATACATGAATATGAAGCCAAAACCACAAGGACGAAAATACGACCCAACACAAATTCCACAAGGACCAAAATACCCTTCCATTAACATTGAGAAGGTTCCAAGGATATAAAGTACCATGAATCAATTGAAAATATAAATTTTCACCAAAAAAAACTAGAAAGTGCCGACACCTAGATAATCACCAAACCAACATAATGAGGAAAATGAACTTCCCAATACAAGCATCCAATGACCAAACTGTCCAGAATTGTATCAGCCATCAAACTCCATATTGATTTGATAACAAGAGTCACACTCACCTCACTAGCCATGAACTTCTTAAGGGGGGCAAGAAAAACAATGCATTTTTTACCTATAGTAGAAAGCAGCAAAAACACACAAATAGATTTGCAAAACAATTAACATATATACTAAATAACTACCCAACCCCTGGTAAATCGCAAAGAAATTGGCCAAAACGCAATATATATATATATATATATATATATATATATATATATATATATATATATATATATATATATATATATATATATATATATATATATATAGACTAAACTGCGATTTTGGTCCCTGTGGTTAGCAAAAAAATGTGGATGGAGTCCAAAAAGTTTTCAAGTTGCACCATTGGTCCAAAATCACAAACTTTCCGCGGGTTTGGTCCCTGATCAATTTGAAATGACTCTTTTACCCTTTTAATTTCTTTTTTTAGATTTTTTATATTTATTTTAATTCCTTTTTAAATAGAAAATCACTAATAATAAAAAAGAATCATCCACCCCCTCCCTTGTTTACCCTCTTGGCCTCTTCCCTTTTCCCTGTCATTCTCTTTCTTCCTCGTCCCAAAAAAAACCCAGATCCATCTAAATTTACCATCTCCCCATCCTAATTTCACCACAAGCACCACACTCCATCTCCACCGTAGATCCACCTATCCTCCACCGGAAAAACGCCTCCCACCTGTTGTGAGGATCTATGAACAGAGACATGAGAATGTAGTTGTAGAGTGAGAAGCGAAGAAGACAATAAGGAAGAAGATTGGTCAAAAGAAGAGACCATTTGCATTTGTAGAGGACAAGGAGTGAATAAGAGGACATCGAGGTGATGAACAAGTGTTTGAAAATCGGACCTCTATCACTTTTACATATTGATGAACCCAGAAATCGATACCATCGGACCATCTAAAAATCATAAATCTCGATCTTGGAGGGTCACCGAATGAAAACCTAGATTCGATGGTGAAAACCCTACCGCCTTAGAAGTATTTGGGCAATGGAACCCTAGAAAATTCATGTGCCGAATTCGCCGGAACCATAGCAGTATCCGGCCACTGATATGACATTGAAGTGTTCTCCATCTTGTTCATCTAACAGGTTTATGCCTAGATAGATCTACAATATGTGTGTCAAATATTCATCTAGTTCATCTCATAGCTTATCACGAGATAGAGTAAAAGAGGTTAAGTGCTCTAATGTGTGTTAAATCTGGTTAAATCTTTATCTGGTATTCCCAGAACATCATTGTGTTCATCCTTGGATTAATGTATATGGATGTGAATTAAATCAGTAAGAGAGGAGGGTGGGGTTATATGTGTATGGGGTAGGGTGGGAGGGCGCGTATTTTCTTTTTGTTTTTTTTTTCAATTACTAAATTATTGAAATAAATCAAAACAAATAGAAAATATAAATTGGAAGGGTAAAATAGTCATTTCAAGTCATTTTAAATTTTTCAGGGACCAAATCCACGGAAAGTTTGTGGTTTTGGACCAATGGTGCAAGTTGAAAACTTTTTGGACCCTATCCACATTTTTTTGCTAAACACAGGGACCAAATTTGCAGTTTACTCTCTCTCTCTCTCTCTCTCTCTCTCTATATATATATATATATATATATATATATATATATATATATATATATATATATATATATATATATATATATTCACCGAATAAACCTACGAAATGAACTTAACCGTACAAAAAAGAACAATTACCAAACCAAACACACATTTCCGTGAGAATATATAAACACCAAGGCTACACCAAGAACCTAAATCCACCCTCAACCCCAAATCAAAACCTAAGATACCTCTGGATCATGGAACATGTGAGATAATCCATAGCTACAATCCAATGAATTGATATTACTTCTTTAGCTAGTACATATATTTATCGTAGAGTTTTTTTCTTTATCAACACTAGTACAAAACTGAGCTTTATCCACATAAAAAACTAATCATTATAGACATAT